TGTGATCCACCGGGGCTGTAATTCCTAGGGGCTTCTGTTTTCTTGCCAAGGGCTGCTGCCGGTGCCATGCTAACCCCCCCACTGGTAGGAAGGTGACCGATGGACCATACCCAGCCGTACTCGACGTAGCCGTAGCATTCAGTTTACATACAGCACAACCCGTTTGCCTTACTAAAGACACTTCTCTAATGAGTCCTGGCCTTATACCGGGCACGTTAGCGTAGGCGCAGACTACAGTTAGCGACGGTTTTGAGGCCACGGTGGTGTTCTGTTGGGTATTTCGTTGTTGGGTTTGTATGATTTCATGTACTTATTCTCAGTTTAAGAAAGCCTTACTTTTTAAATTTTTTTTTCTTCTTTCTCTCTCTCTCTCTCTCTCTGTAGAGGTAAAACATTTGTGGATTTATATATATATAAATATATATATAAATAAAGTAATTAAACATATTGAATATAATATAGTATGTGCCTCAGATTCAGGGGACATCCTGTTGATTGTAAAGTCATGAGTGGCGTTGCTCCCCGGCACGGGGGGGAGGTTCAGGAGATGCAAACCCTACGCCTGCAGCGATGGCAGTGGGGGAGCAGGGCACCCCCCCTGGGGGTCCTACTCTCGGTTTTTAATGGACTTCACCTATTATACAGATGCTTTTGTAATCCCCCATCCTCCCCCCAGCAAATTCCTGCCCGCTGCCAGAATGTGATATTGCAGTAATAGGCAGGCAATGGGTGTTGCTCCTTGCTTGGTAGCTGAAACGGGCTCGTTACTGCGGAGAGACGCGGTGTTTGCCCAAGGCGTGCCCCGCTCTGGCCAGCAGCCGCTTCAGGATGGCAGCAAAGTCGTCAGTGCGAGTCCCAAAACAAGGATTTTTTACTAGGAAAAGTCTTAGCACGTGCACGGGGAGTTTGCCGTGTGTTTGCAGATGCAGCTCTTTGAGCCTGTTCTTCTACAAAAGATTACAGTATAAAAAAAAAAAGAAAACAATGACGCCGAGAAGTGTTTGTAAAATAGATTGTAATTTTTCCACGTTATCGCGTAGCCTCTTTGGCCGATGAAGTTGTGTTTCAAGTGCATTGTTGAAAAGCTCCTGGCTGACCAGGCTAACAGACTTGGGTTATAGGATCGCCGCAGTGCTCTACGGCGTTCATTGGCTTTGATGGTCAAGAAAGCAAAAGAAGAGGACGGCCAAAAGACAGCAAAAAAGAAGAAAGGAAAGGGAAAAAAAAAAAAAAAAAAAAAAAGAAAGCCTTCTGAAGCTATGACCTGTCGTAGCCAAGTCTCGCTGGCAATGGCACAAGCGCCACGGGACGTGCGTGTCCCGGGGGGGCTGCCCTCTCCCCGGGCGGGCGAGCAGGCTGCCCACTCGTACCCCTCCACCACTTGATTGCACTAGAGCAGCTCAGTCTCAGGAAATTGCTTGTTACTTTTACTGTGTAAATAAAGCTTCCTGGTTCCATAACCCCTGGCCGGCGTCTCGCCTCTCTGTGCTCTGCCCGGGGCCGGGCGCTGCTGCGGGGTCGGGGGTGCTGGGGACGCTGCTGCCCCTCGGAGACGCGACAGCCGCGTTGGGGTTGGGGTTTGATGGGGCAGAGCTGGGTGTGGGTGCGGGAGTCCCAGAGAGAGAGCATCTCCATGGGTGCTGGGGAAGGGGATCCCCAAAAAAGGGATGTGGGCTGGGAAAGCTGGGGTGTCCACGTCAGAAATAGCAAGGGTGCCCCAGCCTTGGGTTGCACCAGAAAAAAAGCGCATCTTTTGATGTTCACGTGAAGGCAGATGTGAGGCATCTCCCACGCCTGCCCCTGCCCCTCAACCTGATGCTGGCTGATTTTGAGCTGTGATGCAGCCAAAGAGGTAACAGCGAAATGCAAATCAACATTTAAGTGCCAAGGAGCACTTTATGCTTTAAGGACAGAGATAACATCCTGCCCCTTAAAATAAAATCTAAACCCGAGCCAGGCAAGAGCCCACAGCTGGGCAAGGGCACATGGGGAATTTATTTATTTATTTATTTATTCATTTATTTATTTATTTATTTTATTTAATTTAACAAAGTTATTTATTTAAATAAATTTGTTATTTATTTAAATTTAACAAAATTTATTTAATTAAAATTTAATTAACAAAATTATTTCGCAATTTATTTAACAAATAAATTCTTGGGGAAACTGGGTACTATCTCCCCACAGCCTTTGTAAACCAGAAAGGAAAACGGCTGCGTTTCCGCGAGCGAGCAAACAGTTTAAAAAGTTTCATGACAGACGGCCAGGATGTTTATCTGCCTGAACTTAATCAGATTGAAGTGATAGGCTTAGTGTAATAGAACAAAAAGGAAGAATTATAGGATAAAAAATAAATTCTCAGTGATCCGTCACAGCCCTAACGTTCGGCCAGGGTTTGCAGCATCCCTTGTGTGCATGCAGATGCACACAGTGCCGTACACTTTGGCTGAACTGCTACCCAGAGGATAAAAAGACACAAAAACAGACCAAAAAATTGCACTAAGGTCATTTTCCCAGATGTGGTTTATTTTATTATAATTTAATTCCTAGCCCGCTTTCCCCCGCTGTCCCCAAGGGGTGCTGTGCAGCGCAGCGGCCAGCTGGTAGCTCTGCAAAACGGGGGTTTCCAACACTCACAGGCTGCTCCAAGAACACGGAGCATCACTTCGGCCTCCTTCAGGGATTGGGGTCATCTTCAGCTGTTGGGACTGCTGGAAACGTAGCTGGAATTGCTGTTCACCTCCCGCTTGCAAATGTAGAGAGCAGTAGCTGAATGCAGACAGCGGCCGGAGCACACTGCCCGAGCATGTCATAGAATCATAGAATCACAGAATGGTTTGGGTTGGAAGGGACCCCTAGAGGTCACCCAGCCCAACCCCCCTGCAGGAGCAGGGACACCTTGAACCACATCAGGTTGCTCACAGCCCCGGCCAACCTGGCCTGGAATGTTCCCAGGGATGGGGCCTCC